CGCTCGGGGATATAATTCTTAAGTTCTTTTTAATTAAGATTATTAATAATAGGGTTATAGGGGTAATAAAATTAATAAAATTAAACTTCTTAGCTACCTTTTTAAAATACTAATCGTAAACTAAGTAAATCTTTTTATTTAATTAATTATAAATAACCCTTATTTTAAAATATTATAAAACTAGCCCCTAGTTTTTTATTTTATACTTTTTTTTAAGTTTTTTAGTTACTTAATTAGCTTCGTAAACGTAGTTTTTATAATAGAGAACGAGGATATTATTTATATAAAAGAGAACTAGGACCTTTTTAATAAAGTCTTAGAATAAGTACGGGTCCTTATTTATAAATAAGAGACTTAAACTTTTAAAAATTAATACTAGCTCCTCGTATTATAATAATAAAATATTACGGGTACTATATAGGGCCCGCTCGAGTTCTATATATATTCTTAGTTTATAAAAGCTATTTAAAAACTCGTAAATAATAAGGGGGTTATTTAGCTTCTTAATTACGTTTAAAAAAGCGTTTATAATATTATATTAATAAATTTTTAAATTAAATTAAGTAATAATAGTTATAGTTATTCTAAACGTTTTAATAATTAGCGTCACTATATAAGTCTTTTTTAAGGAGTATTATTTTTAAAAGTCCCTCTTAACGTAAATTCTTACTTTATAATAATTAAAGTAATTATTATTATTAAGTTTATAATTAAATACTTATTTAAGGAGTATTAGCTTAGAAATAACCGACACCCTACTAACTACTTTTTAAGTATTTATTTCTTTTAGTTTTTAAATTTCTAACCGTACTATTTTTATAAATTAATTTTTTAAAAGTTTTAGTATTTTAAAAATATCTTTCTATTTCCTTAAAGAGGTAATTAATTAATCTATATAAATTTAGTTAAATTAAACTATAGTTAGTAAAATATACTTCGTTCTATTAATTATAGTATAAATATAATAATATAATATTTAATACCCCTAGGTCGCCTTATTAATTACTTTTTACTAATTAAGTATATATATATAAAAAAAGAGTCTTAGTCTCTTTTTATTCGAGTATAAAAAGAGTACTACTTAAATTATTTTTATTAACTTAGGTTTTAAATAAATATTTTTAGTAATTAGTTTTTTAACCTCCGGCTTTATTTAGTATACTTATCTTCTTTTTAGTTATATATACTAGTTATATTAGAGTTATTAATTAAGTTATTTATTACTCTTATTTTTTAATATAAGTTCGCTTATTAAAGGGGTTCGTTAAGGTTTAATTAAATAAAAGGATCCTTTTTATAAAAGCTCTAAAAAGTTTTTATTTTTATTTATATATATATTATATTTTTAATCCTTTTAATAAGAGGATCGATTTCTTTTATAGCCTTGCTTATTAACTTAATTAGCTAAATAAAGTTCGTTTTTAACTCTAAATTTTTGAAATTTAGGGTTAGTTCGGGGGTAAGTAGCTACTTACCTCGTTTATTTAAAAATAAACTAAGCTTATTTATAGCCTTATTTACTTTTTATAAAATAAGTATAAATAGTAATAGCTACTTTTTATTATTAATTAATATAACCTCTTCTTTATTTATAATTTTAAATAATTAAAACTTAAGTTTAATTATTATAAGTAATTATTAAATCTTATTTATTACGGCCCTTAACTTAGATAAACGAATTATAGTTTTAGTATTATTTTTTAAATAAAAAGCTATTTTATTAAACGTTATATTTTAAATAATAATAATTTTTAAAAGCGAGAGGATTTAAATTTTATATAAGTTATAAGCGTTTATTACGTAATTTATAAAGTACTTAATATATCCCCTTTATTCTATTTTAAAGTCTCTCTTATTAATTCTTTTTTTATAATCTTTTTTAAAAAAGTACGCTCTATAGCTATATATATACGTTTACCCCTAATAAAAATATAAATCGTAAGCGAGCTTTAGTATATTTATTAGTTATTACTATTTAAAATAATAAGTAAATTAGATTTCTTTAGTTTAAACTAATAATAACTAGCTAGTACGTTACTTAGGATTAATATTATATAAATAGGCTACGGCTAATATAGCTTTTATTTAGAGTTTATTTAATAAGCTAGTTACGAATATTATACTAATCGCTTTATTAATAATTTCTTAGCTAGCTCGTTTCCCTCTTCTATTTAGCTTTTTTATATATAAAAGAATAGTTTTTAAATCTATTTTAAGCTCTCGTATTTATATTTAGAAATAAGTTTTATATTATAAAAGGAAACTCGAGGTAAGTTAGAACGCTATTATAGTAGCCTAATTAATTAAAAACTTAATATAAAAAAGAAAAAAATAGAATAGTAAGTAAAAGCTAGCGAGCTAGCTCTTTAAGCCTAGCGGTTTAGCTCGTTACGTAATTACTAAGAGCTTAGTTTTATAATTTAAAACTAAGTTACGGGGCTTATAGGGCCCTAATACTTATTATTATAATATTACCCCCCCCTTTATATTAAAGGGCGCTATTTATAATATTAAAAAATAAACCTCTAAATCGCTTCTTAATTTAATAAATCTATAATTATAATTATTATTATTATATTATTATTATCTTATAGTAATAATAAGTTACTAATTATAGTAGCTTTTATTTATAAGTCTAAGTTTTATAATAGGCCTTTAGTAATTAGGTATTAGTAATAAAACGCTTAGAATGCTATTAATACGTATTAAAAACTCTTTACGTCGTACTAAGTTAGGTCCGTATTATACCCTTTTTAATTTACTTAGTACTATAACTTTCTTTTATATAAATATAACTTAATAATTTTAAAAACCTCGTACTCTAGTTTATTATTATTATTAATAATTAGTAATAATAAGTCTTAGTTCTACCTAGGTAATAAGTCGTTAGTAGCCTTCTTTAGCTTATTTAGGTAAAAGACTAGGTATACTTAGCTACTTATTAGTAATTTTATAATCTATATACCCCCTTAGTTAGTATTAATAATAGGCTATAACCCGGCTTATAGTTATTATAACTTATTTATATTAATAAACTTCTAATATAAAATATTAATAAAAACCTAATCTCCTAATTTTAAGTTATCTAGGCGCCGGTAATAGTTAGTATACTTCTTATATCGTACCTAAATAACTTTTATATTATTCTTAATAATTTCTTAAGCCTTATATATCCCTTAAGCTATATATTATATATTAATACGGTTTAGCTTCTCTTTTATAAAGCTAAATTAATAAGTTTATTTAAACTAATTAAAAAAAAGCTATAACTAATAGCTAAATTCTACTTTATATAATAATAGCCTCGTAGTTTTACTAAGCTAAGTAGTATAAGCAAAATTAACTATAAATAATATATCGCTCTAGTTATCCTAATATTAGTTAACTAGTAATCTTAACTACTATAAAATATACTAGTTTAGTACTTCTATTTAGCTATCTATTTATAAATAGTCCGCCGTTAATAATTATAACTTAACCCTATAAATTTTATAAAGCTCTCCTTAAAAATTAGAAATAAATTAGGAGCCTCGGTCCGATATAATAGTCTCTAATAAGCCGAAAATAAGTAATACCCGTTTATAAAATATTTAGCTTATATCTTTTACTATAATAGTCTTATAATAAGGAATAAATATTACCCTTTTACTTAAATAGTCTACTACTACTTAGATATTATCGAATCCTTTCTAATTAATAAAAATAGTTATAAAGTCCGTAAAAATATATTATTATAAGTAATTAAGTACTAAGAGCAGTCTTAGCTCTCCCGGGAGCTTATTGCGCGGTTTTTATAATTAATAATAAGTATAATAGTTCTATACGTACTAATAAATATTTATTATTAGGCCCGGTTAGTAATATTACTATTTAATTATTTTTATAACTTTATTATACCCTAAATAAATAAGGAGCTTTTATTTATAAACCTCGTAAATAACTATAATATAGAGGTTCTCCTTTTTAAGTACTACGAGCTTTTTATTTATTATTAATAATCCGTTATCCTAAATAAACTAGTACTTACGCCCTTTAATAGCTAGTACTCGTATTAGTATAAAGGACGCTATAATAAAGTTCTTATTAAGCTTTAAAATCTTCTTTATTAATAAATACCCTTAAAGTTCGTTTTTTAGTATAAGTAAGCTAATTACGAACTATAATTAACTAATAATAGTACTTAATAATACTTATAGCTTTATTATAATATTAAAAAATAATAATCTTAGTAATAAGAAGACTTAGGTCTTATTAGCCTCTTTTAGCGCTTACTAAGTATAAATATCCTCTATTTTCTATAATAAGGCGTTAGTTAGTACGTTCTCCTTCCCTAGGTAGTAATAAATTTAAAAATTAAAATTTATTAGCGTACTAACTTAGTAAGCTTATTATAAGTTAAATAAGCGCTTAGTTATAAAGAATAGTAGTAGTTAATAGTTTATAATAATATCGAACCTATATTTATAATTTATAAGCTCCGCGCACTATTTCTTAAAATATAATATTATTATTAATATTTCTTTATTATAAATAGTATAATTAAGCTCTGCGCCGTTTATAATTTTTAAATAAAAAGTTACTAAGTACTATAGCTTATTATCCTCTTATTATTATAATAATACTTTAGTATATACTAAGTTAAAAGTATTAATTTCTAGCCGCATTAGTAGCTCTAGCTTAAAATAATAAAAAATAAGTACTAATATTAGTACTAACTTTATAACTTTAAAGGCCGTTTTATAATTAGTACTAAAGTTAAAAAGAACTCCCTTACTTATTAGTTTTATAAAGGGCTTAGCTAAGTAGCCGTAATCCTTTATAAACCTCTTATAAAAATTATAAAACCTAAAAAAAAACTAAATACTTTTAAATAATATAGGTAGTTTTTAATTTTTAATTATAAAGACCTTCTCTTTATTAAGCTATATACCCTCTATAAAAACTATAAAGCCTAGGTACTTTATAAAAATAATACTAAACTCGTACTTCTTAATATTTATTTATAAGCCTACTTTTTATAAGTAGTTTAGTACTTTAATAACGTACTCTTAGTACTAGAGGGGGTTATTAAAAAAGATTAGAATATTATTTATATATACTATATAAAAATTATTTAAGTACTTTATTAATATCTTATTTATATATTATTAATACGTAATTAGCTTATTATAAAGCCCAAAGGGTACTACTTTATACTTATATACCCCGTAGCGGGTTCTAAATATTATTAAGTTTTTAGAAGCTAAGTCGAAATAAATATAGTAAAAAGCCTACTTAATATTTAGTTTAGTAAATACTTTTACCCTTCTTAACCGCGCGAGGGTCTCATTAATAAGTAATAATAAATAGCGGCTTTTTTTTATAACCTTATTAAGCTTATAAAAGTCGATATAAAAGCGCAAGCTACTATTATACTTTTTTATAAATAGAGTTAGTAATATAAAAAGAGTATTACTTAGCTTAATAAATCCCTTTTATAAATATTTTAATAAATAGGCTCTTATAGCCTCTAGTTTTAGTACTAACTACTTATATAAAAAGTAATAAGTTAGCTTCTTTTTATTACTATTTAAAAGCTTAATTTTATAATTATATAGTTTATAAAGTACTAATATATTACTAGCCGCTTTATTAAAAACGTCGGTCTAGGGCTATAAGTACTTTAATAAGTTCGTTATTATAAAGTTATAAGTAACCTAATTATTATTATATAGGGGGTCTACCTCCTCCTTCCTATCCTCTATAATACGGTTTAGCTTATAAAATAATATAGAGCCTATTTTAATATCGTTCTATTATAAGTTCTTTTTAAATATAGGAGCGCTAATAAAAGTAATATCTATTTATATTATTATTAAGTATAGCTAATACTATTTAGCCCTTTTTATAGGGGTAATAATAGTACTATTAAGGGCGCGTTTTATTTTTTTTATATTTTTAACCTTATCTAATTACTATATTTAACGGGCTATTATTTTTAATAGGTGTAGTAATATCCTAATTAGTATACCCTTTACTTATTATTACTAAAGCTTTTAGTTATAGCGGGTTATATTTATCTTAAATAAGTCCTATTACTAATTAATATCGATTTAATATTATATATTAATAACTTCTAAGGTATATAGGTCCTTAATATTCTTAATAATAGTAAAAAGCGTCTCTTATAATAATAAGTCCTTAGGCTATATTAATTATTAGTAATAAATATTAAGGTTTACCCCGTAATATTCGAACTACTTCTACCCTAAGATTAAGTCATAGTAGCCCGTATTAAGCTAAAAGAGGGGTATTTTTAAAAAAACCTATTAATTAATATATAATTTAGTAATTTATACTATGCTAATATTATTTAATTACTCCTTATTAAACTTAGTAATAGGGATTAGGTATAATAATTTATAAAATAGGGCTATATAAAACTATTATAATAAAGGGGTTACGTAGTTATTTATAAATCCGTACTTATTAACTCTTATATTAAATAAGGCTCTTAAGTAAATTTTATATTTATTAAATATTAATATAAGCTCTATTTTAAGGGGCTAGCCCCTTATAAAATCCTATAAGTTTACTAAATTAATTACTAATTTTCTATTTCTTTTATATATATCCCCTAGCTAAGAGTTTATTTTTATTAAAAAGTCTAGTTTTCTAAACCTAACTTTATCTTAATAAAGCCCGCAATAGCGTTAATAATAACTATAATAATCTTTAGCTTTTTAAAATAATTTTTAAAAATATATTTAGTATTATTATAAACGAAATAAGTACTACTATTTTTAAGCTTTTAATATAAAGCTTTAGGGATCGTTTCGTAAATAGAAATATAACCTCGGTCCTATTTAATACCGCTAGTACCTTTATTATTTCTATTACTTTTATTATTTCTACTTAAAGTTTAGTAAATTTAGCTAAAAACCTTAACTATATAGTCCTCTATAAAAAGAGGTTATATTATATTAATTAGCTACGTAACGTACTTAATATACTTTTAAAAAATAGCTATATTATCTAAATACTTTAATATAGCCTAGTTATAAAAATATATAAATAGCTTATTATAAAAATAGCGCTTTTATTAAAACTCTAAAAACTTATTAATACGTGCGAGCTTAGTAAATATAGAGCACTTTTAATAAATATCTTTAAATATAATTATAAGTACGTCTAGCTTTTAACTATCGTTATTTATAATAATTAGGCTAGTATAAGCCGATTTAAGTTTATAAAATAGCTACTTAGCTATAATAATCTTATTAAAGGTTAGTATTAGGTATATAAATTCTATAGTACTATTTCTAATTTCATTAATAATATACTTTAAGTAATACTTATTAATATTATAATTAGTATTTTCTAAGCGCTTTATAATATATTAAAGCTAATAATCGAACTTAAAGTTAGTATTATTATTAATAAAAACGGGTATATTAAGTATTTTTTAAAAACTATAGGGGGCGGGATAAGATAAGGTTAGAGTAGTTTCGTAACTACTTTATATTTCTAAGCGTACTAATTACTACTCTAAAATACTAAGAATAGTAGTATTTTAAATAGAGCTAGCTTAAGAGCCGTTCTCTAATTATTTTAATTTCTTAGCTATAGTTATATTATTAATATAAGCTTAGATAAAAGCTTTTTTTATAATATAGAGCTTTATAATAATAATATATATAAAATCGAAGTTTTTATAAGTTATTATATATAAGTACTTAGTACTATTACTCCTTTAAACTAAGAAACGGCTAGTTTGCTACCGTTTTTAGTAACTTTTATTACCGAATTTAGCGGGCTATTTATTATAAAATAGTCGCTACTTTAGACTTAGGTACTATATCCAATAAGCGACCCTTATTTTTACCCATCCCTAATATATACCCTAGAGTATTTATTATAATTCCTTAGCTATACCCTCCTAAATTATTTACGCAGCTACGATTAGTTTATTAATTCTTTAACTCCCCAATCCTTCTTTACTTATTAGTTTTTAATAACTAAATATAGCTACTAAAATAGGCCCTACTATAGCTTACCTTTATATATTATATAACTTATAGGTACTATATTACTTAGTGCGCCCGTTTCTTTAATTTATACGCTTTCTAAGCTAGAATTTCTTAATTTACTTACTTATTCTCTCCTTATTATTACTTTAATTCTTATTATACCAAAATACTAACGTATAACCGTAAATATTTACGATTCCAATATATTATTTATTACTAAAATAAAAAACAACGACTATAATAGTAACGATATTTTTAATATAAAGGACTAAAAAGGTAACTCGGGTATTAATATTACCGATATTAACGATTTTAACGACGATAATATAAATATTAAAGACTAAATTAGGCTTTTTAATAGTAACGTTTAGTTATCTAAGTATTAGTAAAGTAGGGTAGAAATATTTAATAAGGATCCCTTTACTTATTAAAATTATAGCCCTAGGATAACGGTACTTCTTAATACTATAAAAGAGTAGTAGTATTAGTACGTATTTATAAACTTCGTACGCTTTTTATTTTATTAATATTATTTATTAATAAGTTCTATTATATTTTTAAGCGCAACTTATAAGATTACTACGTAAAGATCTTACTCAGCTTTATATATAATTTTTTTAACTAGGTCCTAAGTTAGAAAGTTAGTAAAAATAGTAAAAAGAAACGTAGAACTAAAAAAAAAGAGCTTACTAGGTATATATTAAAAAGTATTTTAGCTCGTTTTTAAAAGAGCCGTTAATAAAAAGATTAACTAAAAACTAAACTATAATATATATAAAATAGGTTTTTCTTATATAGAACGATACTAGCGCTCTTATTAATAACTATAAATTCTACGAGATTTAAAAAAAAAGTATTACTTAAATAAATAATACCGAGCTAATCGTTATATAATAATTAACGACTTTAAATAATAAATCGAGACAATACTAAGTACAATAAAAAAGTTATTTAAACTTAAAAAGTTACGTATCCTCGCCATACTATTTCTTTTTTTATTTACTCTAGCCGGTTCTTGCTTAGAAGTAATTTTAAATCTACGCTTTAAGGATATTAGGGTTATACTTACTAAAAACTTAAAAAATAAACTATATAAGCTTCTTTTATAGTTTATTTTAGAGTTTATTAAAAGCTATTTTAAAAAAAAAGAATAGTAAGTCGTTCCGGTTTATTACGGCCGATAGGATTTATTTACGTTATAAAAAAATATATTCTATCCTTAAAACGATATTTAACCCGTCTTTATTCTTAAACTCTTACGTTTTCCTCCTAAGTATCTTCTTTTAATATAAAGCTTTTAATATATTTAGCTTTACCTTACTATACTATTTTAATAACTTAAATATATATCTTAGCGAGTAGGAGCTATTACTATTATTAAGGGAGGACTTAAATAATATTTTTATATTTTATTAGGCTATTAAGACGTTAACGGGCTATTAAATTTCTAACGATTATATCTCTTCTAGTATAATAGTAGCATAGATTTAAAGAATTAATAAAATACTTAGCTTCGAATATCTTATAATAGCATATAACTTATATTATAATATTATTAATACGTTTAATTAGAGTAGTCTATTTTATTAATAATTTAATAATTAGTAATATTAATTTATATTATAGTTAACGTAAGCGAAGCCCTCTAGAATCTAACTCTAAGATATAATAACTCCGATCCTTTTTAAAAGTACTACTTAAAGTAGAATATCTTAACTAATTTTTAGGGTATCCTTTAGGGTTAAAAGTTATAATAAGTACTAATTAAATAGTCCTATAGTATTAGCTACTCTATTTTTAAGCGCCGCCCTATTAGCTTTATATTAGAGTAGTTTATATTAGTCGTTATATATCTAACTATTAAGGACCTAATAAGGGCTCTTTAAGAACTACCCTAAGGCTCTTAATAATATAAAAAAGCTAAATAAATAATATAAAACGAAAAGTAAAAGCTTTAGAGAGAACTTAAATAAAAGATTAAAAATAAGTAAATTAATAAGTAAGTTATAAATAATATTAAGCATTAGATTTATAATATCGGGTTTATATACCCTATACTAAGCGATATTTATTAACTTTAGGGCTTAATATAAAAATACTTAATAACGAAGTTAACCGCCCCGGTCGTAGCTACGCTTAAAAGCTAATACTAACAGAGGGACGAAGCTATTAATACCGTTTTAATATATTATTTTATATAAAAAGGATATTTTATACCCCGGTCTTACCCTTAATTAGTACTAAAGGCCGTAATTTATAACCCTACTTCTAATTTACTAAAGGGTAGCTACTTAAATATCGCTATACAATCCGTTTTTATTACTTATAATAAGTAGCGGCCTAAGAAGTACTTTATCTATATTAGCTAGGCCCTAGATTTACTTTTAAATAACTAGGGTTAGTTAAACAAACTTACCCATAAGTTCTATATATTTAATAACTTAACTAAATACTTCTAACGTAAGTATTTATCTAAAGTCGCTAATAGTAATAGATCTAAGTATAAAGTTTATAAAATAACGCTCGATTATAAGATATACCTCTAAAATTACGCTATAAAAATATATAGCACCGTGTCTTAATCCTATACTACGGGGCATAAGATTCTATAAGGAAAACTAAAGGTATTAAGGTTTTTAATTATACGTAGTTTATATTAAAAACTTCGATACGCGGGCACCCGTATAAGTATATTATAAATAATAACCCGATTAACTACTATACGTCGACTTTCTTAATAATAAATACTAATTAACGGGGCTTATATTAAGGGAAGTAACCTTTTAAATAAGGGGGATAAATATATAGTATTATTACTAGTAATAAAAATAAGCCGGTACGGATTAAGAAGAGCTTTTAGTAAATAATAGCTAAGTATAAGGTTATACCTTCTTTCGTAAAGAAAGTCTATTTCTAGTTAAAAAAAAATATAAAGAGGTTATAAATAAAAGGTAAAACCGCATTTTTTTAGTAAAGAGAGGTAAAATAGATTTAAATAAGATAGTTTAAATTTTAAATCGGAAGTAATTTACGTAATAACCTATTATTTCTTATATCCGTTATAAATAGCTTATATTATCATAAGAACCGTTTAAGGGCCCGTCCCTAAACTCGTTTTAGGACCTATCTTAGATCTCTAAAACAAAGATTAGTCTCTAAATCCGTTTTATTTATATAAAGGCTGCCGGAGCAATTACTAACTCTCTATATTTAGTCATATTAAACTAAGTACTAAGTTTAGGTACTAAGTTTAGGTATTAGAACTAGGTACTAAAACTAAGTACTAGAATTAAGTACTAAAATTAGGTACTAGAACTACGTACTAAAATTAGGTATAAGAACTAAGTACTAGAACTAAGTACTAAAATTAAGTACTAAAACTAAGTATTAAAATTAGGTATAAGAACTAAGTACTAGAACTAAGTACTAAAACCGGGTACTAGAAATATATACTAGATCTAATAAATTAGGATAGTCCGTAAGACTAGGTCTAAATTTTAAACATAACATAAAAAGGAGAAATAAAAACGGCTCTATACTAACAGCGTAATATAATAAAAATTAAAAGTAATTATTTTTATAAATATAATCCTATCCGTTTAAACTAAAGTATTTATAGAATATAAATAGGATTAAATAGGTTAAGCCTAATTATAAAAGCTTCCTTACTATAATAAATAATCTAAAAAGTAAGAAGTAGTTAGCTATTTCCTAAGTAAGCTATAATTTTATTTTAAAAAGCCTATACTTTACTATATACCTCGTTTATAGTATTATATAACTCCTTATAAACTCTTTTTAAAAAACTCTAAATATCGTTCTTATCCTAGCCTCCCCTACTAAAGACTACTAATAAATAATTCTCTAAGCTTAATAATATATTAATTAAAGAAACTTAAACTTATTAAGAGTATAAACTATAAGTATACTATATTTTAGTATTTGAGCGAATTATGCCCCTTTTCTAACTATTTTTTTATTATATTTTATAGCTTATATAAGAACTAGGTCTAACTAGCTCGCTACTTTTTTAAATTTAATATTAAAAAATATAATAAGAATCTTTAATATTAAGTTAAAATCGACGCTAATAGCTTTAGTTATTTTTAAGAACTATATTTCGAACTTACGATATACTATTATTTTACTATAATCTTCTTTAACCGTAGGTATAATAAGCTCGTTTATACTACTATTAATAAAGTTAAAGTATCTTATTCTTATTTTAATAAACTCAATTTATTTACTAAGCTTAAGGTATTTATACGCTTATTAAAAAAGCGCTTCTTAATCCAAAATACCCTTACTAACGAAGTTCTTTATATATATAAAGTCTAAGCTTTTTTTTATACAAGCTTAGTTATAATTTATATCTTTAATATTAAAAGAAACGTTAATTAATATAGTAATAAGTAAGAGCGCGGCAGAGATATTAATACTTATAATTTTAACTAGGGGGTACTACTTACTTATTTTAATAGCCTAATTACCGGTTTTAAAACTAATATTAAGAATATTAAGAGGCTTGTCCTCGGGGAGCCTCGCTACTATTAAACTACTTTCAAAATAGAGCTTAAATAATTAGTGTTGAATTTTTAGTCGAGCTCGTTCGGATTTGTCGTTAGGTATTAGTAATATATTAGAACCGTAGTATATGTATTTATAGGCGCGGATGGGCGGGAGCTCGTTAATAGAGACGGAGCTAAAGTTAGACCTAGTATCCGAGTCGTCTTCGTTACTATTATTAGCGGCTGGCCTTTTGTTTATTTAAGATAACCTCCTCCGTTCTTTTTAGTCTGTCCGGTTTCTTAAGGCACTAGTATTCTCGCTGTAGCGTCCGTTGCCGTTGCCGATACTAGGGCCGTTAATAGTATTAATATCGTCGCTTATTTCGGCGAGCTTTAGAAAAGCTCTATTAGAAAATTGATTTTAGGATTTCCTCTTAACTTTAGCTAGCGTTAATGTCGCCTCTTTATCGTATCTTTTTATTTCTAAAGAAATTTTAATAGTTTATTATTTTTTTAGAGCGACTTACTGCATAGTAGTTATTTTCGCGCGCTAGATTTTTTAAATAGGGACTCGATTGTGGGCCCGGCCGCCTTGGGTATAATATAGCTATACGTAGGATGACTGATGAAATTTCCTAAAGAAGAATAGGAGGGAACGTAAAAGTTGATAAATAAAAACCTAGGCTAATTTCAGCGTAGGGAAGGTAGGTTACGCATAAAGTATTAATATGGATATATTAGGTGGTTTATCTTACCGAGGGTTAACGGATGTCTTTGTACTTACCCCCTTGGTAGCCTATTATTAGTTGATAAAAGGACACTAGGAAACTAAAGACAAGGGGGGGCCGTTGGCCTTTTGGATGTTGACCAAGGATGATGGCGGAACAAATGCACAAGACTAGATGGAAAAGGCTAATTTAAAAGGGGGAATGGAGAGCCTGACGGACGTTTGGACGGTGGAAGGACATGCCTGAGACGTCACTGGACAATGGTGTACAGGCTCGGACGGCCTGGGGACAGGTTTTGGAAGGCACGAGGACGCACATGGACGGCATGAGGACAACGGTGATGGTGGTGGTTTGGGGAGTTCCTTGGGACCTTCACAGACAAGCTCGAACGCTGGATGATGGTTGGCATAAAGCTATTGCGTCAATCTACTTTGGTAGCAGGCCAAAGTAAAATCCCCTGCCAAAGTATCTGTGGCGCACAGAGTCAATTATCTAAGCAGAGATACTTCGACTTCAACACGCTGGGCTTCAGCCAGTCAAGTTGCATAAATCCCTTGGGCAGGTGGACCGCTGCCCGCAAATACACGGTCAGGGATTAAACTTACCCATAACACCAAGTATGCATCAAGGTCCCAAAATTTTCCCCCGCTTGTCATCTGTCAGGTAGAGGCAGTCGTGGCCTTTTTGCACAATTTCCCCGTAGCATTCTTCCGCCAACAGCGGGGAGCCTGTCGGGGAGAAAGGTAGGACCTGGTACTCCACCAATTGTTGCTGAATGATACTTCCAATTCGATTCGGCCCATTCTCATCGTCCGATTCATGTCTACGTAGCGCTCATCGCGAAACGTTCCCGCTTTCGTGATCTGCAGTCTAACTCGTCGCATTCTCATCTTTGTGGAATCGGGTCTGACTGCTGCATGTGCCTGCCGTGTAGCAGCATGATCCTGTGACTCTTTTCGTCCGGTGATTCCGGACATGTTGGTGATCCTCATTGTGGCTTGGCTCTACTCTTCCACTACTTTCACAGGCTAGACAGGTTGTCCCCTTGTTAGCCCGTGTATCTTCGAAGAAGATCGCTTTGAAGATCGACCGCAGAAGAAACAAACTCGTGACTTCCTTCTTCTTTACGAGTGGCTGTTGGTTGAGGATCTCAACGACGAGATTCGGGCGGTCCATCGAATACGCTTTAGAATCAAGCCATGGGCGCACATGCATCTTCGCTGTGGTTACACTGGTTGTAAAAGCGCTGTAGGTTTGTCTTTTTTGGCACATGTCTGTGTTCGGAAAGTGCTTGGGCAATTTGACTAATGATGGTCTCGTCTGCAACAGAGTTGTAATCCTGATCCTGCGAAGACCGGACTAATGCTATTGCCTGCCTTGCTATCTCCCGATGAGGAGGAAGCGCTTTGAGAGAACGAATATCATCCTTGTCAAAGCCCAGTTCAACAGCCAGATTGGCAAATCTTGGTAAGAGGCTAGGGTCGTTACGAATTGAGTGGAATTCCCTCATCGTGAACAGCCATAGACGCCTCATGGCAAGTTGATACTGAGCCTCAAGGTTATCGAATTCATCCAGGAGCGGGTATGCTGACTGTGCTGGCAGGGCCAGTGGGTTGAAGCTCTGAAGGAGCATCCTCCGAACAGTCGGCCTCCTTCTCTTCGTAGGGACTAGATGATTAATGCTATTACCGCACAGTGCGGGATATCCGAAATCTTCGCGATAGTTTCACAGAGATGGGACTGGGAAATCTAACGAGTACAGCTTCGCAAGATACTGCCAGCCGCTTGTCATGGTCGAAATTACCGAAGATGTCGCCTCTGAGAATGACGCCACAGAATGCTGGCTCATCTGATGCAGAGCGGGCGATGATCAATAGTAGAGAAGCTATGTTCATTCAGGTGGTCACTTGGAAAGGCAGCCTCTCCAGTTCCTCTGTGCATGCGACCGCATACGTCGATGCCCGGCTTGCCATATCTGGAGCAGTGTTTGGTCATTTCGCAAATCATGCCACAGTCAGGCGACACGCCAGCGGGTGCTACCCCCATTTACATTTTATCTATTAAAGCATTTGCTTCCTGTACTTTTGGCGTCGCAGCTGCCCACTGGTGATGGGCCTGGTCCGTCGAAGTGCTCCGAGGCCCCTTCGTAGCGCAAGCTAACGCGAACACATGTCGTACATCACGCGCTGAGATCAAGCGGCTAATAATGGTCATATACGTGTCATCGGCATGGGTTCTCGCACTGACAATTCCATCGAGAGCAGCTCGCATAGGTATAGACGACGATTCCCAGCATGTCTGCCAGTTTCACATCTGTGAATCAGCTTGGGAGGAGATCTGGGGCCACCACTCATGATACTCTATCTACGTATTGCGTCAACAATGAGTAGCCATGGCCAAGAACGTGGTGTTGGGTGCATGACAAGTGAAGAGGGGGCTGTGCGACATTGCACCGACGCGGGTCTCAAGAATATCCGCTTGCAGCTGCAAGGTTCTGAGCTGTCTACGTTATTGGAAAATGAGAAGTATACTTGGTCTAAGCTAACTACCAGCTTCTTGCGGACCATTTCTTTGTTCAAAGAATCGAAGTGCATACAGTGGATGTCCGAACATGAACCGAAGCCGCAGGTCTGACTTTCTGAAACCTTGCTGAGGTTTCCTGGTTGATTCATGTTCCCGGAACCAAAAGGGTGTCCTATCCGCATTCTCTAGCCAACAGTTCCTCGGATGCCCCGTTTCTTATAGTAATGGGCGTATATGGAGTTGAAGACGGCTTATGCTTTGTAACAGGTAATGCTTCTCGGCTCGAATGCTTGGAAGTTCGTCCTGCAGTTGGATGTCGAATCTATCCAAAAGGTGTTGTCTCTGACCGGCGAGACGCTACCTCGAACAGGGCCGTTCAGTTCTATAATCGACCTGAAGCCTTGGCCTGTTGTAAAAATATTCAGAACTCCAGTTTTGGATTCAGGGGATGGTGGTGCATAGTGAACAACCAGGTCCGTTCCACATCCGGCTTCATATCTTGGTCCCACCCTCTGGAACAGGGCTTCGTCGTATGGTTCATTGGCGGGTAAAGGTGCTCGGGCGCATGTGACTTGAGCCATAGTGTGTCCCAAAAATGGCACGATGAGTAAGAGGATAGACTGCATCTTGTAAGGTTGTAAGATTGTAAGGTGTTAAAATTTGTTGTTGAGGGAGGGAGAATCAAGCTTCGTCGTTTTGCGCTGCCAGCCCACAGGTTTTAATAGTGCCTACTTGCCATGTTCACTTGACAATGTGTCGTATTCCCTTTGCGAGAGTTTGATGACAACGAGTCAGGATAAGAGCCCCTTGAAATTACACACGGAGTCGCCGAGATCCGCGTCCAAATTAATTCAAACTTTATACTAAGCAAGTCTAAGCCCAATGACAGAATAGGGAGGTAGTCAATTGTGTCCGTTGTACTAGAAATAACGGTCTCTGTACGAAAGTTTCGGTAGAAGAATCTCTTGAAGTGCATAACGGAGGGGTGATCGAGCCGCAGTAAGAGTGCCATCGACGACAACATTGGCTCGAAGCTAGACAGCAGTACGCACGGAGCAGGTTAATACGGCAGAAACTGAAGGATTGCATTTTCTGTGTACGCTTGAACTCTATCTCCTTTCTATCTACAACTAAGAAAAAGCTATTCTATCTTGTCTCATGAAGCTAATTTCCAATCCACTTCGCCATACTTAAACTCAAAGTCACCCAGACCTCACAAAATAATAATAATATTATAAATTAAAATAAATCTAAGAGACTAGTAAAAGGCTTTAATACTTAATTAAATTTTAAACACATTACCCTCTGCCTTCTCCTTATAATGGCTCGTCCGAGACTACTTCGATTGGTAATGGAGAAAAAAGTTCTTTTTATTAAAATAGTATATACTTAGTATGTCCTAGAGGGCAACCGACTTATGCTTCTGGCAGCTAGTATTTAGGTTACTCGTGATACTCTATCTAAATCGTCACGACACTTAGCTAGAACGATCGCTCGTCTATCCTATAAAGCGTCCTAAACCTGTTCCCTAATAACCAGCTACCTCCCTTTAATATAGCTAGCGACTTCTAGGGTATGATCGTCCTAGTCGAGCTTGTTATATCGAGTTAGGTAACTGATGATCATTTCTTAGCCCACGACCATGGCGGCGTCAGGTGACACGTCTGAAGGCTTGCTGGTTGTATCTATATCCTGGCGCTGGCAATCGCGGCACCATGGAGTTCTCTCGGCATATCTGTCGTCCACAATCCGGCTTTGCACTGCGACGGATCTCAGCCCTTGGTCTTAGCCATGACTATGGGGACAACACAATCAAAAGCAGCCAACTTGTCAGCTAACCTCCCGGTTTGACGTGCAGAATACTTGGGGGCTTGCTGTGGCCAGTTTGCGAGATGCGGTTCAGGGTCATCAACTCCAGTGTTTCGAGTGTCGAACCTCGATCCATTAAATGGGGAAGTGCTCCAGTGAATCTCATCTGAATTTGATAACTCATTAACGTCGCTGTCTGCGAGGACACTTTCCCCGCATTTGAATACTACTCGTTCAGACTCGAAGCGCAAGATACACAGCGCGCTCGGGCCTCCGGGAACGTCCACCCCATATTATACATCGGTTCTGGTTTCTTCTCGAACCCTCGTTCAGTACTCATTAGGCGGTGGTCTGATGTCTTGTCCCCATCCTTCATAGCAAAAGGGAGCTCATACTCATGATACGGCAGATCTCGAGGTGCCAAGAACCCGGCATTGCCGTGCGACGCAGAAGCGGCTCCTATTACAACGGCCGCTCGCGTATGGAACTCGTGCGCAATTTTCACCTCGTTCTGGATCATCTGGTCATCTGGGTCTTGAAGGATACAGAGCGCATCCACCCAAAGATATTGCAAATCAAGAGTTAGAGCAGCCTCTACAGCATTTCGAATTGTTCTGGGATGATACCTAGGAGGAAATCCGACCAGGTGATGTTGCAAGTTTGTCGAGGTTGTCTTGTAATCCGACGATTGACCCCAACAGTAACTCAAGAAAGCAAAGTCGGTGATTTCTCCTGCTTCTCCCAACCGAACTTGCCGGTCATCGCAGGAGCCCAGATCGAGTATATATCTCGGCTGCCTAAAAGACCGCATCTGTTACCTGTTGTCGTTGTATCGAACATGGGGTTTTCGGCAGTTCTTAATACATCTACGCATCCACTGCAAATTCCTTTTTGAAAATGGATATTGATTCGTCGGTCGAGTTCGGATGAGATCCTTCATGCCTTCTTGTCCCATCGTGTCAGCGGACAATTTGGATAAGGGGTAGCAACACACTTACTTGCCTTTGCGATCGCGAGAAGAATGTCTTCAGCTTTGGGTTCCCAAGGTCCATCGGGCAAACGCCAGTCACAGTAGACCACACAACTCCCATGATGCAGAGAAGTCATGATATGCAGCGAGACTTCTATTCAGTTGACTGAATCCCACGATGGACATTTGCCATCAGAATATCTGTACAGTAAGTGTGACCGAAGGCGTTCCAAGCGCGCTTCGAGGAAATTGCATCCGTTCATAGCGGACTTTGCCACTTGAAGTAATGCCCGAGGGCACATACCACAAGAGTGAATCTGAAGGTGAGAAGAATCCATCGCAGAGAGATAGGATTGGAGTTCGTTAAAACGGTCTTAACGATGAGAATATGAAGTCGTCCAGGGAGGTATGAGTGCTGATTAGAAAAAGAAGGGTGATCGCGCAGGACACTACGACGCGACACGATGCTGATTTGATTTGATTAATTCCTACTCGGTTTTGGCCGCTTAGCTAGTAGCTATGCCCAGAAAGCAAGGTTTGGCTAATAGCCGGCGCATCTATAATAAGTCGTAACGCCCCACTTCGCACTACTTTTAAATCAAGGCTAGCTATTTCTAAATTCCTTACTATACGGTCTATCCTATATTAATTCTCTTTATTAAAGACTCTCTTCTTATTATATTACTTTTCTCTTATTACGAATATTTTCCTCGTCTCTAGATTCCCTATCTCGTATTTTCCTACTTCGGCTTTAATAGTACTTACTACTATATCTAATTTAGTATACTTATAGTCTCCCCCCAGAGCTCGGCTTTACTTACTTCCCTTATTTATATCCTCTTAAACTCGCATATACTATATCTTAATTAACTTATATATATTTTTACTACTTCTTACTAAGTTCCTATATAGCTCTATTTTTCTATTTTTTAACTACTACTACTATCCGCTACCTAGGGTTAGGCTCGATTTACAAAACATAATACTTTAATTACGTCGATTCGTCTAATTACTAAGTATAAGAGCTCGTATATAAATTCCGCAAATATTATTAGATATTAAAAGGACGATAATCCTTTTTTATAAAGGGGAGGGGGGCAATAGTAGCTAATCTATCTATAATCTATAATATTTTGCAGTACTAATTATAGTATGCCCAATATCTAATACTTCTTCTATATAGGAGGTAATACCTTTCTATCGGGCTCGTTATTATTACTATCACGGGACGTTATAAACTTTATTAGGGGTAGTAAGTAACCTATAACCTATCGGTAGCTATAGTATTAATATATTTAGGCGCGGTCGTTATACTCTTTATAATAACCCGTAACTTACTAATAGAGGTAGCGATAGTATTATTTCTTAATACGTCGTACTTTATAACTTATTTTCGAATTTTTTATAATTAGAGCCCGCTCATAGCCGCGAGTAGGCCCTTTAGGTATAAAATTAATACCGAGGATAATATTATACCTAAATTAATTTCTATAGACGCGAGCGGGCGTAGTTCGATTAATTTAGTACTAGTTTTAAAAATTTCGTTCTCGCTATTATTAGTATTTTTTCTTTAAGCTTGAAATGGTATATAGGACTTACTATATAAGGTTTGATTACTAATTTTTATATTAGCGGTAGCACGTCGGCTATAATGGCTTTGGACGGCTAGCTAATTTGCATATACCTATAATCTAGGAAAAATATATAGAAGGTAAGATTAGTTTATAGTATTACGGACGAGGAACTATAGCCGGTCTAGGCGTCTAAATAACCCTAGAGGTTATGTTATGTTCTGAGTGTTAACGGGTGATTTGGTCCTAGTACTATCTCTCTTAGCTCTAGTGTCTTTCGATATATCTACTCTACTTCGTCGTACTTCCCTTAGTTTATAAGTACGACTACTAGATTACTTATATTAATAAATATCTCGGGATTCTCTCGTCCTAGTACTATCTCCTTTAGCTCTAGTATCTATTGGTATATCTCCTCTACCTCGTCGTACTTCCCCTAGTTTCTAAGTACGATTACTAAGTTACCTATATTAATAAGTATATCGGGATTCTCTTGTCCTAGTACTATTTCCTCTAGCTTTAGTATCTTCTAATATATCTATTTTACTTTATTATACTTCCTCTATTTCGTAAGTACGACTACTAGATTACCTATACTAATAAGTATAAAGGGATTCTCTAATCTTAATAATTTCTCACTTAGCTCTAGTATCTTTTAGTATATTTCCTTTACCTTATCGTACTTCCCCTAGCTTATAAATACTCTTACTAAGTTATTTATATTAATAAGTATCTCGGGATTCTCTCGTCTTAATACCTTCTTTCTTAGCTCTAGTATCTCTCGGTATATTTATTCTACTTCGTCGTATTTCCCCTAGCTTTTAAGTACGATTATTAGATTACCTATACTAATAAATATTTCGGGATTCTCTCGTCCTAGTACCTTCTCTCTTAGCTTTAGTATCCGTTAGTATATCTACTCTACTTCGTCGTACTTCCCCTAGCTTCTAAGTACGACTACTAAATTACCTATATTAATAAGTATAAAGGGATTCTCTCGTCCTAGTACCTTCTTACTTAGCTCTAGTATCTATTAGTATATCTACTTTACCTTAAAGTACTTTCCCTAGCTTTTGAGTATAAGTATTAGATTACCTATATTAGTAAGTATAGAGGGATTCTCTAGTCCTAGTACCTTCTTACTTAGCTCTAATATCTATTAGTATATCTACTCTACTTTAAAGTACTTTCCCTAGCTTCTAAGCATAACTACTAAATTACCTATATTAATAAATATAGAGGGATTCTCTAGTCCTAGTACCTTCTTACTTAGCTCTAGTATCTCTTAGTATATCTCTTTTACCTTAATATATTTTCCCTAGTTCTCGAGTACGATTACTAGGTTATTTATATTAATAAGTATATCGGGATTCTCTCGTCCTAGTACCTTCTTACTTAGCTCTAATATCTATTAGTATATCTACTCTACTTTAAAGTACTTTCCCTAGCTTCTAAGCATAACTACTAAATTACCTATATTAATAAATATAGAGGGATTCTCTAGTCCTAGTACCTTCTTACTTAGCTCTAGTATCTCTTAGTATATCTCTTTTACCTTAATATATTTTCCCTAGTTCTCGAGTACGATTACTAGGTTATTTATATTAATAAGTATATCGGGATTCTCTCGTCCTAGTACCTTTTCTCTTAGCTCTAGTATCTCTTAGTATATTTACTCTACCTCGTTATACTTCCCCTAGCTTTTAAATATAAATACTAGATTACCTATATTAATAATTATAAAGGGATTCTCTAATCCTAGTACCTTCTTACTTAGCTCTAGTATCTCTTGGTATATCTCCTCTACCTTAGTATATTTCCCCTAGCTCTCGAGTATAATTACTAGGTTATTTATACTAGTGAGTATATTAGGATTCTCTAATCCTAATACCTTTTTACTTAGCTCTAATATCCGTCGGTATATCTACTTTACCTTAAAATACTTTCCTTAGTTTCTAAGTACGAGTACTAAATTACCTATACTATTAAGTATCTCGGGATTCTCTAGCCTAAGAACCGTCTTACTCAGCTCCAGTGCCTCTCGGTATATCTGCTCTGCCTTGCTATACTTTCTAAGTAACATATTGCCCTGTCCTGTCGCGGATAACAGATATAATAAAGCTTTTTTATCTGTACACTAGTCACGAACCTGAAGCGCTGCTTGAGCATGTGGTAAATAGTCCAACTAAACTTCCCTGTTTCCGTGTGCTGGCCAAGGAAACAAATCAGAAAGCCGCATGATCGTCTTGGTCACCTGCTCTTCTTCCCTATGTCGCTTCTTCAGCCAATTACGCATCACCAAACGCACCAGGCGATGAACGTCGAACTTGCTCTCGCTGCCAAGCTGCAGAATGAATGTGTAGGCTTTCAGGATGCCAATTGCTTCGTTACTATTCATTTCGTCATCTCCAGGCGGCAACAAGTCTCTTGAGATGTCTCTCTCTGCGAGATAGCAAATGATGCTGAGGTAGTCCGCCGCTAATGGGCTATCCCGCGAGATTTGTTCGAATGAGATCAGCCATGTCGTGGCTACTGGGTTCTGAATATCCGCATACCCATTTTGGTCGTCATAGTCCTTGCTCAGTAGCTTCACCAGCGTACTATTACCAGACTTGCAATACTCAAGATATTTGAAGACAGTGATGTTCGTGTTTGCAGCCAGATAAGCAGATGCTTGGCGAATGGCTATGGGTAGGTACGCGAGGCACTCAAGCAATTGTGTCGTGCTTTCACTGTCACTGAACTGGCTTTCGTCCAAATTCTTGTGCAAAAGCTCAGTGGCTTCCATAGCATCCATCTCTTGTAGATGCATGGGTTTACCTCGACTCCATCTTGCTGCAGCCTTGTGGTTCCGCGATGTAATCAAAATAGAGCCTTTTCGACTGGAAGGGAAATAAGATGTAAGCTTAGGGCCAGTGAACAGTACCTCCATATCGTCGGCATTGTCGACGATGAGAAGCCAGCTGCCAGCGTCGTCTCGTTCCAGTGCAGCCTTCACCAGACTCTTGATGTCCGCTTGGTCATCCTCGATACCTATGATGTTAAGCGCTTGACCGATCTCACGATATGCATTCTCAAACATGACTGTGTTTACAGCCGGAACCCAAAAAACGGAGCAGTCTGGGTGTGCATCGCGAACGCGGTAGGCGGCCTCGACCGCGACCTGTGTTTTGCCAATTCCCCCCAGGCCCACGATCGCAGTCCTCTGACAGGCGTCTCTGTTAGCGCTCGGAGGTATTCGCTCCAGGAGCCGCGTCAGGATCGCATCTCTGCCAACAAAGCTTTCGTTTCGTCCAAGCTGAACGATGAAGTGAGGTTTCCGATGAGCTGGCAGGATTTTGGCTCTTAGCTTTCAATCTAAACTCAATCTACATGCTGTACTTACAACCCTGTGGCTTGTCTAGATTGCTAGAAGTTAACGGTGGGATGGTATTCAGCAGCTCTTTAGCGTATGCTGCCGCCGTCGCTGCTGCGTATGGTTGCCACAGCTTGTTCTTGTGCGCGTCTGCATAGTCGCAGATGCCGCGGATAACGATACAAGGGAAATTGTTCATCAGTCCGGCTGCCTCCATCTCGAAGCACAAGACGCCTCCCAGCTCCTTACTGTATCTGTCGCGCGTCTGACCATCCTTCATCACCTGGTTACCGGATGCGATGTTGCCGAAGAAGAGGACTGGGTCTGGTGTTGCGCGTGCGTCCCGGTCCTCTGCGTCTTCTGGACAGCATTTCGCGCATGTAGCTCCGGCGATGTGTAGCGATGACGCATTGTAGAGCGTGTCTTCTTCAGGGCCTGGCGATGCGAACTTTGTTTGAATAGATAGTTGCGACAGGTATGTGAGGACTTGCGTCTCGCCCAGAATGTCATTAGCACGGAGCTTAGTTAAGGCGTTGAGGAGGATCGTTGGCGGCGCGTTAAGGCTGCCCGTGCGAGCAATACGACCATCGGCTCCAGTCTTCCCGAAATCGTATTGAATCACTCCGCTGTGCTGTCCTGCCGGCTGGCTGATGACAACATCGCCGAGACGGATGTCGATATCGTCGTTGAGATTGGGGACGCCACCGCCAATGCCGACGAGGACACCGAACCGTAGTGAAGGGAAGCTGGTTTTCATCTGGCTAGCCACCGTGGCTGCTTGATTCGTGCCCATCTGGCCGGCGGGTAAACAGGCAGCAACGACATTGTGAACGCCGATTCGGCCGAAGGAGTAGAGGTTGGAATCGGTCGGCTGGGACGGAAGATCAGCAAATCTCTCGTCCATCATCTTAGCTGCGGCTGCCAGCTCGATGGGCAGAGCGCAGATCCAGCCGACGGTGAAGTCGCGGACAGGAACGGACTTGGCCATGTCGCGTCGGTCTCAGTGCCGGATGCCAGCAAAGGCAGTGCAACTCTTCGGGGCGGAGTGAGGTGTAATCGACAACGTGTCGTGGAACACTTGCGTTTTGTGGGAATTCCTGTGCCCCCGTCAGGACAGCATGGCGCGAACAGAGAGATACGTCGTAAGCCTAGCGAAGAGGGGTCAGACAGCGGGAGGCATTGTCACAGCCTCCGGGACCGAACGCCAACCAGGATAAGCACTGAGCGCTAGTGTTTGCGTGACTGGCCGCTGATTGCTCTATGGATTGCGAGTGGCATGACCCTCTAGGCTCTAGGTCCACTTCTGCATAAGAAAGCCATCATTCTTGCTTCGCGACACGCAATGCCTTTTAGATTGCCGATCTACTCCAAATGAAAATGAACCATCGTGTTGGAGATGCCCTAGACGCCACTACCATCTACGCAGTAGGCTCGTCAATGAGCAGGTTGTCACTCGACAGATGGCAATGGCTAAATGATGAAGTCAACGGTGGGAACGTGGCTTATGGCTATGGCAGCACGGCGGCGTGTCTCGGTTCGGCCCGCTCCAACCTTTTTGAAGGGCTCTTCTTCATTAGAGCTGGGCTCAGATCATGGACCCAGAATGCTCGTCTTGGCCCGAGCACTGTCAGCTATTTCCAAGTCCGTACTTCCACAATCCCGACGATCAAAGCAAACACGCGCATCGGCAAAGCCCATCCTGTGTCTGCAGATAGGTGGGTGTAAGCAAGTGACATGAGAAGGACACTGCACTTATCGTCGCTGTTTGTGAATGTTGAATTATGCCACGCGGTTCCAATCTAGAAGCACAGTGGACGAACAATTTCTGACTTTAGCTACAGATGTCATCAAGAAGGTACTGCTTACTATCGGGGCCTAGTCATGTACCCTGTCAGCAAGCGGAACCACAAACATCTGTGCACAAAATACATAGTAGTTTCTCATGCGTCGATGCTCGGCTTACCATATTTGGACCAGTGTTTCGTCATTTCGTGAATTATGCTGCAATCAAGCTACACGCCAGCGGCTGCTATCGTACTTACGTTTTATCTATGAGAGCGTTTGCTTCCACTACCTTGGACATGAGACTGACCACAGATGCTCACCGGTGATGGGCCTGGTCCGTCGATGTGCTACCCGATTGGATTATCAGTGCAAGAACGCGAGCCGACAACAGAGTTGTGATCAATTGCAAGCCTCTTAGTCGCAGCGCGTGGTATATGACACATCTTCGTGAAAGCCTGCGATACGTAAATCTTGCGCACAGCCATGCGACCTGGAGTGAGCAGCTCGCACAGCTGTCGGCGGAATGCGTTGGCGACGAACGTGTAAGCGGTGTCTTAGCAGTAACCTGCTGGAGCTTGGCGCCCGTGACTAGTAAGCGCTGCCGAAGTGCTCGGCTAAGGGAGCCACAAGCGCCCATGCCGGCGGGCCTACTGCTAGAAAGTCCTGTTTCTGACTGCCCTACCAGTCGCGATGGTCTGCGGTTCCTACCGAAGCAGCCGTTTACTAGTAGAAGCGCCTCCAACTGCCCTACCAGGTCGCGATGGCCCGGGGTCTCTTGGTGGTACCGGGCTGGCGGGGATTATTGTGACCTAGCGGGGCAGTCAGAAACTGGACCTTCTAGCAGTAGGACCGCCAGCTTGAACAGCGCTTGCTAATCACGGGCGGTAAACTCTGGCGAGTGACCGGTAAGCCCACAGAGATTTGAGCCCCCAACAGCACTGAACAGTAACCTGTTGGAAATTGAGCGGCAGTTACCAGGTGCCCTCCCCGAAACCAGCGGCCTCTTAGCCCGTGCCTGGTAACTTACACTTGTAATCGCTAGAAACACCCCAGTATTCGGGCCCCGCAGCCTGATCGTTTGGCAAAGGAGGCTAAGGGAGATTCAGGGTAACCGACTTCCGTTTCGCCATTGGACGGATGGCAGACGGTCTGCAAGTTGAGCGCCTAAGTGCAGGCAGGCGGAACCCGGACTAGGGGCACTTCCTCCCCGGGCGCTTTGAGAATTAGAGGCGTTAGATAAGGCGGAGCGGTAATATACCTTATGGGCTCGAACTTGTTAGGGTGGTTAAGTATAGGCCCCGCTAATAATAATACTAGGAGTACGCGCTTTATTAATTAGCGAGTTACTAGCTTTAGTATATAACTACTTAGCCCCTAACTACCTAGGCTATATACTTCGGAGAGGTAGTCCGTAAGTCTGTAGTATATAAACGTTAGTATTCTAGGTGCGCGCGCGTTATAGAGAAGTAGTTTAATTATAGTTTATAAGTAAGCTAGAAGCCGAGATATAAATAGTGCCGTCTTAGGATCTAAGAATTTAATATTTAAATTAAGTTTATTCGTAAATAATAGCTGGCTACGAAGTATAATTATACTATAAGTAAATTGTTATATATTATAAAGTCCGTATTAATATAACTATAAATATTTCTAATCCTAATCTAATTAAGTAAAGTAAGCGGGATAGAACGAATAAGAACTTTAAGAAGGCTAAAAAGAACTTTATATAGCGATACGATAAAATAAGCTGCCGCTACTAATTAGATGTCTATATTATATTAAAGAGGAGATATAGGTACTATAAATATAGCTCTATTAATAACTTATCGTGGCCGATATTTAGAGCTAATATAGTTCGTATTTCTATTACCTACTTCGTATTATTAATTTTTTAAAAAAAAAAGTCTACTCTATGCTTATAAGAAAGACGGTAGCCGATTTTGTTTATTATAGAAGCCTCTAAGATAGTTATTACTAAAAATAATATATGCTACTACTTTTATCCTATTCTCTTATCCTTATCTCTGCCCTCTACTAGCTTATTATAATATTTATTTAGTTATATTATATAGGGTACGGTATTTATAAGAAAAATAGAATTTAGGATTAGTACTAGGGTTATGGGCCTAACTTAGAGGGGAGCGAAATTTGCGTTAGTTACTAGGTAGGATAGAGTATTAGTAGGTTCGGGGAGCGCGGGATCTTTTTTATTAGTACGTCGAGAATGCCTCGTTAAACTATATTAATTAAGTAGCGTTATATTTATTTAAAGTATATTGGTTCTATCCTGTAAGGATAAAAATAGGCCTACTATAGTTTCGAAAATATCTTTTTACTCTACTTAATAGGTCTGTTATGTTTATAACGCTTTATTATCTTTATTTAGTTCTTTTTTAAGACCCTATTTTAAAGTTATACTTATTATTACTGCGCTAGCTTAATATTTATTTAGCTGACGGTAATCTCGTTATTATTACTTATTAGTAAAATTATCATAATCTAACTAGGATTTACTTAATTAGTAATTAAGGCGTTTATTACCTCGACGCGCCTTAATACTAGCTATTTATACCTAAGAGATAGAGTAATAGACCCGTAAAGGATTTATTACTAAGTACGAGCTATTTAATCCCGGTTTAGTTAAATACTCCTTTATATAGTTATAACCCCTTAGTAAAGGGAGGACGACGTTAGTTTACGTCGTATTACATATTAAGTAGCTATAAAATACTAGCTCTAATGAGCTGCTTTGGCTACGTTATTATAGTACTACGAACCGCCTCGTATGTTATATATAAGTTAAAGGAAATATTGTAACTAAGGTTATTATTATCGTATTACTAGGAGCGATCTTAGTTTAATAGTAAAGAGTCTAATATAGATTAGGTATTATTACCTTAGCTAGTAACCTTAGCGCTATAACGTTATGCTAAGTAATACTAAAAGCTAGTTAGTCCGTATATAGGAGGGCTAGCGTCGTTCCTAGTATAGTGCGACTCCTTACTAGGCATACGCACTAGTCTTTACGCTTAGTATATATACCGGAGTATTATATGTCGCTTCCTCTCTTACGTATATTCTTAATATTTAATACTTTTAAATTACTAAGACGGCCTCTTCGAATATTAAGTAGTAAGTATAGTTACCTATTTATATTATAAGTAGGGTCCGGACCGTAGTTAGTAATGCCCGACGCCGCATATTTAAAGCGTCTATTTAAAAGTATTTATTTTCGGTCCCTCTTCGTGGTAGCCCTTATATAGTTAGATCGAATTAAAAATTTGTCCTTAATAGGTTATATTAAAAGATTTGAAGTATATTGCGAGGAGGTCCGTTTTATTTATATATTTCTTATATCTAATAAGAGCTTATATATTTAGTATCGAAATATAAAACTATTATTATAATAGAGCGTTAATCCTCTAGCGCTAGTTATACGTTATATAATCCTTTACTAATTCTTATTACTTAGTTAGTATCTAAATTTATACTAAGCGAGCTAGGTTTACTATTATTACTTAGTAAAACGCTATATAAAAAGCTAATAATATCCTAGTCGGCCTCTTTAATAGAGCGTATAGCCTTAACTAACTAGTTAGCCTCGGCTTACCTCGCATTAGTTTTAGCCTACTTTGCGCGTTACTTTACTCTTAAACTATGCTATATTTCTTAAGAAAATAAGAGCTAGTTAAATACCGCAAGGACTTTTTACTATATCTCTAATAATAGAGCCTCAAACTACTTATAATTAGTAAATAGGATAGACTAAATTATTATATACTACGTCTTTAGTAGCGAAGCCTTAAATAACGCACGGCTAGTTTACTACTTATATTAGCGATATAAGTAAAAATATAAATAATACTTACTCTAGGGTGGCTTAAAATAAATAGTATAGCTAACTAGGGTAAGGCTACGGACCTATTTAAAAATAATAAGTACTATTTATCCTAGCTAAGTAGCGAGCGGTTTAGCATCGATATTATAAGAAGTAGTAGTAAATAGAAAATAGTACTTCTTATTCTCGTCTTATAGTTTACTTTTAAATATATATTAAAAAGATTTCTTAAGCTTTTATTATTTTTTACTATTACTTAACGCTCGAAAAGCTACTTATTAATACGCCCGAAGGTAACTTATTATATTAGTTATTAACGCTTTAACGTTTATTATATTTAAGTCGTGTTTTACTATAGCTATATT